GACAATATAACAAAATTCAACCATAACCAACCACACCTAATTAAAAAATAGCAATAATGCATGGGGTTGATTGATTTGTCAAATTTAAAAATTCATAACCGACTGTTCAAAATGTAAAAAATGAAATTCCTGTATTTCGTTGCAGTGCAAATAAATTGTATTGCATTCAAACAAAATAAGTTAAAATTTGAAACAAAAATAGAGCAGAATTTACACTTAAATCATTTGCACTGTTATGATTTTGCATCAGTGCAAATTTATTTGCATTGCTATCAAACACAGCCAATCATTAATCCAAATGTGGATAATCTTTAGGTTCTTTGATCAATCATCTTTTTGAATCTATAACTGATTTTCCCCGATAGGCTGAGTTTGGAAGGAGTAAAAATACAAATATGTAAGATGCAAAACCTTATATTTTGTATGTATTTACATTTTATATATTTTTATTTGTACTCTTTCCAATGAGCCTTAAGGAAGATAAACCCAAACAGCCTGACATTGCATAGCCTCTATTCCAGAATCGTATAACTAAAATCTAAAACAAAGACCCAGAGAAGGATATGGGAATTGACTCACATACTTGCTTCCTTACCTTTAGCTTCCCCTCGCTCCACTACTGCTCCGCCTCGAGAATTTATTAATTAACAGTATTTTTAATTGATATAGCATTTTTAATAATTATAGTATTTTAATTAATTAATTAACATTATTTATTAAAATAATACATTTTTTATTAACAGTATTTTTCATAATTACAGTATTAATAATTAATCGTGTTTTATAGCATTTTCAATAATTGCAGTATTATTAATTATAGCATTTATTAATTAGTAGTGTTTTTTAAAATATTGTATTTATTAAAATATTAATATTATATTAATTCATTAACTAAAAGCTTTTTAAATTGTTAATTAATTTAAGTTATAATTTAAATTGTATTTTAGATATTATTTAAATTATATTTGAAATTGTAATACAGTATTATTTAAATTATTTGTTTAAATCTAATTTAAGCTATAACTAGCAACAAATTATATTTAATGAACAGAAATTAGTCAAAAAATAACCTAAAATAAAGTACTAATAATTTAGTCATAATTACCAAAAATTATCCAAGAAACTACCAAAATGGATTAACGTGATTTTCCAATAAACATGACAAATTACTAAAAACTAAACAAAATATAACCATTAAAATTACTTTTTTTGAGAGAAGCTATTTATCTATTTTCTCAATATAAAAAAGTAATCATTGCTTATCTTGATTAGAATTAATAAAGCTGCACACTATTAGAGAGAGAGACTTTTGGTTTTCCAAGGCCTCTTAATTTAATGCATTTATATTACAATTAAAAAAGAGTAGTAATAATAAGTACTCTATTTTAAAATTTACAGTATTAATAATAATTACAATATTTTTAATAATTAACAGTATTAACCATATTTATTAAAAATAATGTATTTATTAATTATCAGTATTTTTAAATAATTACCAATATTTATTAAAAACAATACTAAATAATGTATTTATTAATTAATATAATGAAAGTTATAATTTATTTAAAAACAGTATTAACAATTACAATATTTATTAATTAACAGTAATTAAATAATTACAGTATTTTAATAAGTAACAGTTTTAACTGTACTTTTAATTAATATAGTATTTTTAATAATTACAGTATTATTAGTTAATTATAAGTAATTACTAAAATACTGAATTTATTAATTAATAATATTTTTAATTAATATAGTACTTTTAATAATTACAATATTAATAATTAACCATATTTTACAGTATTTTCAATAATTGCAATATTATTAATTACAGTTTTTATTAATTAATAGTGTTTATAAAAATACTGTATTTATAATATTAATATTTTCTTTGTTCATTAATTACCAGTTTTTAATTTGTTAATAAATGTAAGTTATAATTTAAATTTTATTTTAAATATTAATTAAATTAGATTTGAAATTGTAAGTAATATAATTAAATTTTAATCTATAATTAAAAGTAATTATATTTAATTTTTTATTTATATATAATTTAAGCTATAAATAAGAAAATTACATTTAATGAACAGAGATTAGCCAAGAAAATAACCAAAATAAAGTAGCAATAATTTTTTCATAATTACCAAAAATGGATTAACATAATTTCTAATAAGTATGATAAATTACCAAAAATTAAAAAAATAAAACCATTAATTTGAGGGCAATACCACCTTATACGATTTGATTAGCGGTAAATTTTTTTTCCGGTATGATAGATTAATAGTTGAATCCGATGTGTATTTTTTGTAAGATTAGTATTGTTGTATATTTTTGTATAGGTATATATCGGATTCCGTCCGACTCGTTTGAAGGACGTTATTGTCTAAGAGAAAATTGTCAAAGCTAAGCACGTGTAATATGTCAGCGACCTTTTATTTGGTGAAGTGTGGGCAGAAAATTCCATGACAAATAATGGATGGGCCCTTACTTACTTAACAACTTCAGCCGTACACGTGTTGCTATCTTGTAAGGAGCTTCCAATGTCGTAAAGACACGTGGCGATATTAAAATTCTTTATGCAACAATGTGAATCCACTCGAATCGAGAGCGGCTTCGGTGCTCATAAACCGTGCGCACAGCCTTTTACACGGTACGTTGAGAATATCTCCGTACTTATAAAACAGGAGATATTCTCAATACAAAACCGTCAGGGACTGTACGAACGGTGTGAATACGTTCCCGTGAGCACATCGACTCTGCTATAAATAGGTCTGTACAAGTACAACGGGCTACTTGATACAATCAAATTTGAACACGTGATCCGTATAAAATGGATTTTTTGGCCCTTGTCTTCTGCCTGTTTGGCAATTGTTTGATCCGTATAAAATGATTTTTTTGGCCCTTGTCTTCTGCCTCTTTGGCAATTGTTTTGCAGAAGATTTATTACAAGATCTGATCCGACGACAGGATGAACTTTGGTTGATTAAACCAAAAACTCTTTGGTTGATATATTTTTTATGAGTCCGGATCTGCTCCTCATTGCCTGGCGCCTCGCAAATTCCTCGCAAAACGTGAAAGTGGGAGCCTTAATTGTCGTTAGGAGCCATCCCGTTAACCCCCACCCCACCACCGAGTATTCCTCCTCTGCAAGTCTTATTTTTAATTTCTTGTTGTTTCCCGCTAAGTCCCTACTAAACCCTAGTAGTACTGGTGAACGGCGATTTCACCGGCGATGATACGAAGTCTCCCTGTGAACACAGACGAAACGAGACTGACAACTGTACCCGAAAGGAAAGAGAAATTACATAGTTTGGAAATATTTTGGCAAAAACTACTGGAATATGACAAAACAATAAACCAAAAGCATGGAATGTTTATCACTGCAGTTATAGCTTTAGGATTTTTGTAAAGAGAAGACGCAGAGTTTGAGCATAAGAAGCAAACAAATAGAGGCACAAACAGAGTATGAGAGTGAAACCTGGCGCTGGGGACCCTGGAAGGGACATCAGTCTCGAACTCAATGGGCAAACCTAGAAAGCCATTGTAGCGATCGAAGGTAAGGTGGGAGACATGCCTGGCATTGGTAGGCCAGCTAATATCCTCCCTTTCCATGCTACATGTCACCAACGACTTCTTTAACGCCGCTAGCAAAATTTCCAGAATTGGGAAATGATGGCGCTCATCTCTGGCACCTCCCTCTCTCCCTGCAGGAATTATCAATGGAGTGGATATTGGATTTGCAAAGTAATCGTCACCGTCATCATCTTCCTCTCCTTCTTCGTCTTCGTTCAGTTAGATATAATGACGGAGTCGGAGGGGACAACTCCAACACCGATATCCGTCCAGGTCCACAAGACCTGGATCTGAAGAGCTGAGCCATAAGAATTACAAGACAAGTAGGAAGAGTTTCAGAAGGAAAATTAGGGCTGGTGTTCCGAAAAAACGTTGAATTTGGCAAAGCAAATCGAGAAGTAGTAGTAGTAGCAAGCTTGGTCAAGTTGGGACTTTGGGATTGTAAATGATTGGTTTGATGCGGGAAGGAAGGAAATGATGAGCTTGAGAAGAAAAGAGATGTGGGATTTCTTTATTTTTTTTATTTTTTATTTAAAAAGAAAATCTGTCGTTGTTAGCTTTGTTATCTCAGTAAATAAATATCGATAGAACGGACAATGGAATAGACGACTCTGTCTCTAGCAGAGCAACGACGACGAGGAATCGTAGCTTTGCTATCTATTAGTTTGGGTCCTTCGTGAAAAGGAACAGGGGTAAGAATTTAAGCAGTAAAAGAGAAATCAACAGAGTTGTTAGTCACGTTTCGTCTGTGATCGTAGGGAGACTTCGTATATCGCAGATGAAATCGCCATCCGTCGGAGAAAATACTACAACTCGTGGAGGGCGCCAAGACTTGCAGAGGAAGAATACTCGTGGTGGTGGGTGGTGGGGGCTAACGGAATGGTGACTAACGACAATTAAGGCTCTCCACTCGTGTATATGTAATTCACATGATTACGGGGACGCCTGGTGTCTTCACGTTTTGCGAGGAACTTGCAAAGTGTTCTATTTTTTATGGACATGCATGTGGGGTCCATGTGTGGATATGTATGTGAAGCCCATATACAATTTTTAAGGTGGATCCTATATATTATTGGTGAACATGTATACGGGGAATACAGGGGCCATATACATTTTACAAGATGGGTCCAACATACCATTAAACATGCATGTGGGTCCATGTGTGGACATGTATATGGACTCATATACATTTTTTAAGGTGAATCCTATATACATTTTTCTAAAATAGGCCCTACATTCTATTGCTAGGTCTCGGTTACACATTCAAATAGTTTTTTGTGAAAAGATAACCCATTTTCCCAAGTGTGACCGGGACTAAAAAGCCCAAATTCAGAGATTTAGCATCTTTTATGGGCTGGAGTTTTTTATCGATAGATCTTTTTATTATCAAACAGAAAATGCCCAGAATTCAAGCCCGCGCGGAAAGATTTGCCAAACGCGGCCGAATTTTTTGGGTAAGAATGTAAGAAGTGATCCAAACAAGCCGTTAGCAGACAACGTTGAGATAAAACAAAGAGAGAGCGTCAGACAGAGAAGAGTAGTCCTTTCACCTTTGCTTCTCTTTAAACGGTCACCGTTTCTTCATTTTCCCGGCGTTCTTTTTTATTATTTTCCCCCTCTCACTCTAAGCACATCCAACTCGGTCGGGGTTCTTTCTCGTCGGCGTTCAAGGCGGCAAGTAAAGATTCTCTGCTCACCTTAATGGCGGATCATGTATTTCCTTCGATCATTGCGCGTTTATTAGGGTACATGGTTGCTCTCACTTTCCTTTATCAACATCTCACCGTCACCGATCTTCACTCTTCAGTAGCCCTTCACGATTCATGAGTATCTCGTGGAACCCTAATTCTCGTTTTTACAAATATTCCGGATTCTTGACCGTTATTAGTTCATGTTCTTTTGTCCTTAACGGCGTGAATTTGGGTCATGTTGTTGTTGTGTTTTTAATTTTTGTTTTCTTTTGGAACAAAGTTAGGTTTTCGTTTCGTTGATTTAAATTGGTGATTCGAGACCGTTCTTTGGCGGCTCTGCTTTTGATATGGGAAGTAAGTTTTAGCTCATCTGGTTTGGTTTTCGGTTGATGGAAGAGCCGAGTCAGCTCAAACGGGCGTTGATAGATGCCACGGCGGGTGCAATATCCGGCGGCATTTCCCGGACGTTAACATCGCCGCTTGATGTTATCAAGATTAGATTTCAGGTAAGTTGTGTTGATTGATTAAAGTGTTCTTTCATTATTCTATTCATACATATGCACAACTAAATTGGGAATTTACTTTAATATTGCCAATAAAGTGAAACAAGAAGGAATGAAAGAAAAGAATAGCAGCAGCATAGGCAAGAGCTGAAAAATTGGAAAGTGCAGTTCAGAACAAAGTTTACCACGTGGAAGATAGAACATTGTCTTTTCCTATAATTTAGTCCAGAAACTACATCATTCCCCTAAAAGAAAAGTTTCTCTTCTTTTCTTACCAAAGGAACCATTTCCCTTCAGTTTCACGGCCATTAACCTCATGATTGCCTCATTCACAATTTAATATGATCTTATAATACTTCTGGAAGATAACCTTTAGCTCTGAAAAGTGGATACAATTTATTGCAGAATGGGGGAATTCATCAATAAACTGCTATTAATTGAAAATTCAACCATATTGGGGGGTAGGGGATGTTAAGTGTACTAATAATAATTTATGTAGAAAAACTGTACATGAGAAGAGTATGGTGATACACAAAAATTATGAACAGATAGCTCAACCAAATCAGAAGCACTAGCCAGTATCAAGTTATTGTCATATAAAAAATGCCCTGTCAATCGCATATTTCATAAGACTATCAATGATGGTGTTTAAACCTTCTAAGGATCCAATAAAACTTTTTCATAGTTCAATAAGATAGTGCACTAATAGATGTGGAAAGAAGTTTGCTGGGTTCAAGTTATGAGCAGAAGAGGGAGATATTGTTTTAAATCTAGAGTGAGATCTTATGGAACATAGTTTTCAAGGCGCCAAGGCGAGGCTAGGCGACAGGGGGGCGCCTAGTCGTCTAGGTGATGGATTTTTTTAAGTAAAAACATGTATCCTAGGGTAGTTCCCTAGGTTCCATAGTCATATTTCCTTAATAAATATCCAGAATTTTCATAAGAAAAGTATAAACTTAATGTTAAAGTATAGAAAATCAACATATTCCAACATATTCATGAGAAGAAAAGGAAGAAAGAAAAGAAAATTTGAAAAATATAGGGGCTGGACCCCTATTTCTGTTATAGGAAAAGAAGAAAAGAAACGTGTTGATTGGACAACATTTTATGTTTTTTCTTACTTATTGGTTCAGGTTTTGAAGTCTTTGAGGGTTCAATACAGCATTTATCAATGTTTGTGGTGATTAAATCCTAACAAATAAGAAAATAAAATGAAATTAGTATATAAACACACAAAATGAATAATTTTAGTTTAAAAATGTCTATTTTATAATTATAACCTAAAAAAATTAAGAATATAAAAGTTTGTTATAACACGCTATCGAAAACTGCTTGGCGATTAGGTGAGGCGAGACTCCAAGGGCGCCTTGTTGCTTAGGTGCCCGCCTAGGCGTCGCCTTGACAACTATGTGAAGGACTATAATTACCATATCTTATTCTTATGAAAATAAAAGTTCTACAATGAAAACCATCGTGTTTGAAGTGTTCAATAAACTCACATTTGTTTGAGTTGCATTGGGGTTTTGCTCTACTTGTGTAGACTTATTGGGTTGCATTGTACCTTGGGTTGGAAGGGGGGGGGGATATAGGCCCAACCTTTCCTCTTGTGGTGGAATTTCTCTTGTAAGCTTATGCTCTTCTTGTATTTTTAGTAAAACTTTCTAATTTGTTACCAATTAGGCCTCGCTTGCTTCTCATTAAATGACTTGCTTGGGTAAATGCACTTATCTGCACAAGTGTTTCTTGGGAAATACTTACCTAGATAAGATCACTTATCAGTGTTCTTTTTATTCCCCAGTAAAAGTGTACAATGACTGATTTATCCAAAAAAATAACATTATTGAAGGGGCAATATTGTCCCATCATGTATTAGCGATATTCGACATGGGTAAGTAATTTACCAAAGTCTAAGGAGAGTATTACTTCCCCAGGTAAATGAGATTCTTTTCTGTAGGACCCACTAATACCGGAAAACAAACATGGGTTTATTTCTTTTCCATGGGACCTACCAACTTACCTGCCCCTATTTCCTAGAAAATGAATGAGGCCTTAAAGAATGAGTGTAGAAAACTTTGCCCTAGTTTTCCATTTTGACAGAGTTGTGAGGTTCAAGATTCCAAATTATTTATTTTGATTGGGATTATATTATCATAATATCATTCACTGCTCCATCTATCCTGGTTGTCAAGGCATATAGGTGATTCTAGGTGATAGGGGAGTGCTTGGTCACATAAGCATTGCCTAGGCGATAGAATTTTGCAAAGGAAATAAAACTATATTCTAGGTTAATTTCTTAGTTTTATATACCAACCCACATGCATAGAATGTGAGAAGTAGCAACTTTCTTTTGATTTCTTTTTGAAGGGCTACACAATGGGGGGTTGCCCATCCCCCAACCCAAGTGTAGGCGAGATTCAATCCCAAGTATCCGTATGACCAGCATATAAGTAGCAACTCTCTTTTTTTTTATAAATAAAGTAGCAACTCTCTCTCTCTCTCTCTCTTTATTAATAACATTATTTCTCTCTCTCAAATCATGGCAAATTATTAATTTCAACATCTCAAACACAACATTGTTATATAATTAGTATTTAATAGAACAATTAAGCTATTCAAGGGGAAAACTTAACCACACAACATAAATTAATGGTGGTAGAAGTGTGTATTAAAAACAAGAAAGGGAAATAGAGTGGAACATAGGTGCCCAAGAATTGGGTGGGCTAATCTAAACGGAGAAAAGCTAGTACAATTAGAGGCAGATTATTAGCAGAAGGAACATAGAATTTAGATGAAGAGACTAATGATATGTGGCTTGAAATGACCATCTTTATAAAAAAAGTAGCAAAATACATTTTAGGAGAATTTAAAGGAAAATGACCAAGTGATGAAGAAACTAGCAGTGGAATGAAGATGTTCAAAATATAATTGAAGTAGCAAGGTGCCAACTGGACAGACGATAAGGCTTAAGGCCATATCAACTGGTTGTAGTGGAGGCTTGGGATCAAATCACGCCTACACCAGGGTTGGGTGGGTTATGGGTTTGGGTGATAGACTACCCCCTATAGTGTAGCCCCATGGAGCCATATAAAGTAACAAGCATGCAATAAAGATTGGCAAGTCAAAATACATTGGGTTTACAAGATCTTGATCATGCTGGATATAGATAACTTAATTATCTATCTAATGACACCAAAAGGCATATAAAATAGACAAGTTTTGGCCTCTTAAAAGTAGGATGAAAGAAGAATGGCGTGATTGCATTTTCAACTTTTCAAATGCTCTCCTATTAGATTTGATAAACTAAGACTCTTTAGAATGACTAATCTATTTCTCAGATGGTCACAAACTAGAAAATAAATTTAAAAACTCAAAAGTACCAAAATCCAAAATACACAAAAATTATGAAATAGCCTTGGATGAGGAAATGAGAGAAAAGTGGTTTGTTTCTCTAGGATTCTTGCCCTACCTCTGTGTCTGCACTACAACTATTGTCAAATTATCAGGCTAAAGGCCTATCAATTATAATAAGGTCTTATTAGGTCAGACCCAATAAACCTGATTAATAATAAGGTCAATTGGGTTTATTACTTAGAGACCCTATAAGAAAGTAATCAGAACAATAAAATGAGTAGATATCTGCTGAATTAAAAAATATGAAAGAAAGTAGTTTCTTGAAGAGAGAAGGAAGAGAGAAGGAGAAGAAGAGAAGAAGAGAAGTTGAAAGAAAAGAGAGCAATTAACCTGGCTGCCCCCTTCACTTATAGGGCGGCAAAACATAAATCAACATATATAACACTCAAAAAAACATAATAAAATTTGGACTCACATAACTACTGTGGTCCCCACTTCCTATCTAACAACTAACATAAAACATCTACTCAGAAAAACATCATAAAACTAATTAATCTTCAACGCTCCCCCTCAAGTTGGGAGTAAATGCCACACATTCC